TTTCATTGCTTTCAATAAAAAAATTTAGCTTAAAAATTAGGGATTTTTACATACATAACACCAAAAACTATTGAAATTATATATTTAACACCTAAACTTCTATATTTATTAATATACCACCTAAAATATCCGTTTCCTTCTATTCTACCACTCCATTGAAGCGATGAGATACTTGTATTCACTGTGAAAGGATGCCATTGATGGGGAAAACAGTCACTGATAGTGATTTTTTACGGAAGGTTTAAATGGAATGTTAGAATTGATTAAAAAGAGGGGTTTTAGGTGGTATATTAGTAAATATAGAAGTTTAGATGTTAAATATGTGTTTTCAATAGTTTTAGGTGTTATGTATGTAAAAATCCCTAAAAATTATTGTATAAAATAATAAAAAAAATTGTCTCAAACGAACTATAAAGGTAGTTGGAAGTTATTGTGAAAAAATAACTTTTTAAAAGCTACTATAAAAAGGCAACTCCCTTACACAAAAATTTATTAAAAGCAGTGAAAAAATAGTGATTGAGGATTCGTTTGGAATAGCATTCTTAATGCTTTCTAAACACAGCTTCAAAAAGCAGTGAGAAAGTCAGCTTTCTTTCTGCTTCCTCAAGCATTTTTTTAATTTTTTTACTAGAAAACTACTTTAAGAAGCAGTAGGAAAGCTGTCCCAATTGAAGACTAGAGAAAGAGAGAGAGAGAGAGAGAGAGAGAGAGAGAGAGACTTTTAATAATTTTAAATAATAAGTCACAAACATAACATCCCATGCATGCAACATTAAGGGTGAGAACATAATATTTTTGTATTTTATTTAATTTGAATTCTTCTAAGTAGAGGCGATAATAATATGATATTGTAGATGATTTATGTCCAGCGTGAAATATTTAACAAAATATATAAATCTACTAAAAGTTAAAGAAGATGTCTAATATGACTCCAAAAAAATCATATGATATGCACGAATTTTGAGATAATCTTTAAAATTGGAAATCTTTTAAATTAAAGTAATGATCATATGAATTTCAAGTTTGCCATGCTTATAGTTGAGTCGAGCAGCTCAATGAAACAAACCCAATGAGCTCAAGATCACTCAAATTTGACATCATTAAGGCTCTTAAATGCTCAAAAAATATTTCATAATCAAATGAATCGATATGGATTGTATAATGGAGTTTTTTTTTTATTCAGATTCAAATTATAAAAACGTTCATCGAAAAAATGCCTATAGATAGAGCTTCATTCTTCACATAAGAGGGAGGGAGAAATGAGAGAACCATAGAGCTCTCTTATATTTTTCATCTATCACCTCTTATGATCACAATAAACTATTGTCAATGATAATCACCATTGACACCGACGCTTACTGTTAGTAATCGCCACCACCTCCAAAAATCTGACATTAATATTTAACCCTAATATTGAGTATTGTTGTCAGCCTATGGACATCTACTTTTGTAATCTCTAGCAAGAAAATCAAGCCTTATTGTTGGGTGTTAATTATCCATCTACGAACACTTGATTTCTATCTGTCCCCACAAGAGAAATCAGATATTTTATTCTCAAATAATTCATTTCTTCTTCAACTGTGATGAAGAAAGGATTCTTGTATCTTCTGATATATAGTAAATTTTCCATCTAAGTCAGGCTCTGTAATTTTTCTCCTTTCCAGATTTTTCACGAAAAAAAGTTCTGATCTTACAACTTTTATTTATACATGTTGAATTTTTGTATAATGCTCAAATACAAAATATACTCTACCAACTCAAATTTTCTGGCACGTAACATAGTCGAACATATTTAATTTTGAATCTATTTCAATTTGAATATATATCAATATCATTATTTTTTAATAATTTTGTAAATATATAAACATCCAAATTTTATTTTTAATGAAATTTGGGCTAAGAAATCACGGTTCAAAAAGTTAATTATAATGTCTCACTAAATTGTGTGCTTACAATTAAAATGAGCATTTTGATTCGATAAATCCATCGAGTCCAAAATCGCTCCAAAAGAAGCAAAAATGATTATGGAGAACAATTAAATTCAAACAATCTAATGGGGGTGTTTAGAATTCCGATAGAATTAAACAAAATATACCTTTGCAACTAATGATGATCATGCACCATATAAATCGTTAAGATTTACAGGTCTCCACAAACTTACTAACATTTTCTGAAACCAATATCGCCATTTTATAAGTGCTCATTGTTCCAACCTCAGAGTCTTAATTATTAACTAAACTGCATAAAGAATTTATCAGTCTCCCCAAAGATCTCTATAGGTCTTCACAAATCCTAATTCACTACTAATAAATTAAGTTTTTGCAATACTTTTTAAGACCTATTGTAGTTGTTTAAACATCAACTGATTTATTTGTAGCGGTTTAAGAACCACTGCAAATCTATAGTATTTGTGTTTGCTGGAAAGGCTTTAATAGCGGTTTTATGAGTGATGTTGTAGGAAGGCTTATACATGGGAACAATGAGAAGAAGAAGTGAGACCAATGCCCCAACTCCAAGCGGCAACAGGACATGCATCATCTCCACCTTCTCATGATTCACCTTAGTTGCCTTCATTGTCTCGGTGTGGGCGGAATCCGTGTTACTTCCCGGTAGATCATTTGGCTGCTGGAGACGGACGCGGGATATAGTCGAGCGGGAGCTAGGGCACGGGAGGGAGATCATACAGAAAGCAAAAGTGACAAACTGCTTCTATAAACCGCTGTCAAAATATTGAGTTTTTAATAATTTTTAGCAGTGGTTACAACGGCTACCTATACCAATTTATAGCAACGATTTTAAAATTGATATTAAAAACTGCTGCTAAAACCTTATATTTTTAATAGTGATTACATGCATATAAATATGGGCACCAGTATAATAAATATCCATTTCACGATAATGGTGCACCTAGTATGATCAGTGATGAGCTTTGGGATTGGGCCTCTCGGTCCAATCCCTTCGTTATCATCACATATCCCTAAATAAATTCTCATAATTAATTAAAGTTGAACCATATATGTCATACCATAAACTTGTCAGCCCAAACCCAATATAATTTGGATCACAAACTCAAACATAATATGATTTCCTTTCTCTTGTACTTCTAAAGAACATCTAACTTACCTTTTGTGTGCTTGCTTTTATTATATGCATTTAGCCATCGAGTACTTAGTATTACTGTTAAATTCTCATATATATCTTTAATTTACATCCACACATTGTGTGAGATTTGAATTGATTTATTTTAAAAGAAGTTCAAAGTATGCCCATCTTCTTAGCTGCCCAATTTGCCACCCAATTTAACCTAGCAAGTAATATTATGCTCGACTCAGCTTATGGCTCGCCAAGTCAAGCTCATGAGCTCATAAATGAGCCATGTTTAAGCCAACTAGATTAAGCAACGGCACTACAATCAACGTAGTTATTTGTGGAAGGATATTTGTATAACTCTAATGTGAAACTCCTCAAGTAAAAAGAAGTTAAACTCTTAACCATCGAGACGGCTTTTTATGTAATGGTTAGAATTTTACTAAGAAACTCTACAGTTAAGCGTGCTTATCCCAAAGAAATCTTGGGATGTGTGACTTCTTGAAAAGTTACACCAATAGGATAAAAATGTGATGCCTTTAGACCAAAACAAACAAAATATTGATAGTTAAGAGTTTGGGTTGTTACAAATGGTATCATAGCTAGCAATACACCAATTGGAAGGTAGGAACTAAGTGTCATATAAGACAAAGTGCTACGCCATCCTATATGGGACAAAGTGCTATGCGGTGGGACTCACCATTTGAACTTATAGGGGCCACATTTAGAATCTCACCTGCCTGGTGGATGATTCTAGGATAAACATATTGACGTGGACGTTAGTTACTTAAGTGAGGAAGATTATGAATCCTCTTAAGTAAAAAGAAGCTAAATTACTCTTAAATATTAAGACACGTTTTGGTATAATAGTTTGAATTTCATTAAGAAACTCCGCAATTAAGCGTGGTCATTCTATAGAAATCCTGTGATGGATGATCTCCTGGGAAGTTACACCAACAAAACAAAATCTCCTCTTAGGCCAAAGCGGATAGTATCTCAATAGTTAAGAGTTTGGATTGTTCTATCTTATACTTCAAAGTCTTACTATCATCACAAATTCTCTAACCCCAAACATTGATAATTTAATTGTTTCAATAGTGCCCTCTCATTTGAATTAAAGTTTGAAAAGCATGCATTCCTTTTTTATGAAACCTGAAGACCTCCATAAGAGTACCAACAAACAAGTAAAGATAAAGTTTTCCCTCTATCTAATTATCTACAAATCCAAATGCATAATGTCAAAAATATATTTATAAAATTGCATAATGTCAATAATATTATTTTTTTGTGTCATTCAAATCTTTTTAATTTATAAATACATATACAATATTAAAATGTTATAAAACCCTTTTAAAGTGAGATACAATCAAATTATTAAAATTAAGGAATTCAACAAATCATTCATACTAAAAATTATTAATTTTATTATTCTTTTTTAAATATTTGGGTGTCATATTAAAATTTCAATACTTGTCAATAAGATAAAATATATTATAGATGTATTATAATATAATATTTTCTCTATAAGCTTTTCATAAAAAATGAGAATTATAGTGATAATATTTTCTCTATAAGTATTAAAAGGTTGGTTTTACAAATATATATTCTCTTATATTAGGATAAAACTAACTAACTCCTTTCATATTAAAATTAAATTTGATATTTTTGGCATCCCAAATAAATAAATATTTGTAAAAATATATATTTCTCAAAATTCTATGAAACTAATATACGGGTCCATTCATCATTAGTAATTGTGAAATTATATACAAGCCCAAACTTTTAAAATAATTGCAGAAATATCCTTTATAATCTTACAAATTAAAGAATTACAAAAAAACCAACCTTTTTTCCCGCCATAATATGGACAAAAGAATGGGATACAGTGATACAAGCAGAAACAAACACGCACGCTAAGAGAAAGAAGCCATGATCGGTTCTTTGCCGGCGACCAGACCGCCCGCTTCAGCGGCGGAATCTGGAGACGGAGATGTGGCTGGCGGTGGTGGTGGGAGTGGCGATGAGAGGCGGTGGAGTTGCCGGAGAAATAGGATGCGGCGGATGTCGGAAAGGCGACGGTTGAGTGCGGTGATCTCTGAACGGAGAAGCTCGTTCTGGTGGGCGAGGACGACAGAGCTGCAGGAGATGGTGGAAATTCTGTCCGAGATAGCATGATTCTCGAGACGGAGGCGGCCGACTCGGCTACGGAGGTCTTCGAGGTGACGCTGCTTTCGAATTCGGGAACGGCGGGCGGATTCCCGGTTCGATATCATTCGGCGGAGTCGGCGGTGGTCGGAAGCTGAGGGTGGCGGAGGGTCGCCTGTAGCGAACTCCATGGAAGGTAGGCTGTGGAGCGGGATGGAAAGGGTTAGAATGCGCAGAATTAAAGCGGTATTTATGCGGAAATTTTTTATATTTTTAATAAAAAATTATACGATATTATTTAAGATATTTCTAAAAATTATTATAAGATAACGATTGGCAATTTGGCATAGCTTAAAAAATAATAATTTATTTTTTTATAAATTATTAAATAATTTCACATAAAAATGAGAATTAGAGTGATTTTTTCTTTGAATGCTTTAATTTTTTTAATTTTTTTTAAATATTATAATTAAAAATTCATCATAAACATATAGACCTCAAAATAACCATTCACTTAAAATAAATAATATTTTAAATTGTCTTCCAATGTTTTTCTTGTTTTTATTTATTTATATTATGATGTTGTGATAAAAAATGGATAAATAAATTAGATTAACATTGGGATAAATTTAAGGCACTAATAATCAATTAAAATTTATATTTATT